TGTGTCAGGAATCTATTTAGGTATGGCTGGTCGCCTCTTTCATAAGTATATAATGTAATAGGTCTTCTGTACTAACGTTTTTACGAAAGCAAATTCGTGAAATCAATTTTGTCGTATTTGTAGTAGTTTGCCATGTGAAAAGCAGATCCAGCGGTTGACCAGACTATATATTTAATATATTGAATTTTGGGAGGGACGCAACTACATTAATACTTCATGAAGATGACAAGATATATAGCATCGCAAATTGGGCATACGATATGATCAGCGATCAAAATTACAATGAATTTGTGGAATACGAAGATTTGCGAAGAAACTATATTAGTCCATGAACTAAAGAACCAGACCAATGCGCAACTAGACATCTGCTGAAGTAATATTCTGACAACTTGCTATGGAAAAAGAGGAGAAAGAGAGAGAGAACCTCTATATAACCATCTTCTATCTTCCTTCCCTGCAACATTACTACGCTCCAACTAAGAGGTGCTGGTGCGCCACTTCCTTACCCAAAAGCGTTTTCATTATCTTATGCTAGAGACTGTAGCATGATACCCTTAATCACACAATCTTCACAACACTCCCTTTTTCCCATCGAAATCCGTAAATAAGACCCTCTTCGCAGGCAAGAACTGGAAAATGATGATAGCCTTTCGATTGATTCGAGGTAGAAACCGTGCTTCTTGATCCTAGAATGATTTTTTGCTCGGATCTTCTTGAAAGTTGGACGCTACCGCCACACTGTGAAGCCTGAAGAGAAATCTAAGTACTAGTAGGCAGTATTTAGTAGAAAAAATAGTAGTCATTCTGAAGCTGCCTGTGGTGCTGTATTTTTTACAGGCCCCAATGACCTGCCTCTCCAAGTTGACTGCGACAGCAGCTTCGCGCTAAAGTCAGCGACTATCACGCGCACCACTGCGTACGATGCAGTCGATAAGTAGACTGTACACAATCTCTGCCCCTTGTATGCCCTTTAGATTTTTCTGCGCCATGTTACTTTCAATTAACAACGAATATATGAAGACTCGCTGCTGCTCCAAATCGACAAACCCCGAAAACCCTATGATAGAACACATGCAAAAGAACGGGGCCGCAAACAGTTGGCCTTATATTACCTACACAGAAGATGCTTTTTTGCAATGTCGAGCTTTCTTTACGTTGAACATGTTTATAAATACTAAGATCATAACTGCGCACGCTTTTTTACACCTTGATGAAATATGCAGCGCAGATAGAATCACGTCATTCACTCATGTAAAGAAAATGCTACAACCTACGGTCATTGAGGGATCTTCAGGCTCGTACGCCTCATCCGCCTCAAAATTTTCGCCATCGCTAACTTTCCCCTTCCCCGTGAGCTGCTCGAGTTTCCTGGAAGTATTTAATATCTCAGTACATCAAACATTTCGCAAATGCGTACCTTGTAAGTGCGTCAATTTCGTCAGCTAATTGCTTTTTTTCAGTCTCTACTTTCTCAACCATATGTAGAAGTCGTTCTTCCAACTCCTCATTTCTATTCTTCTGATGATTAAACTGTTCTTCTAACAACGAATACTTCGTTCGCCAGTAATCAAGTTCAGCATCACTCATGTAGGTGGAATCTTCAGGGCTATTCTTCGGAACTTCCAACTACGCCGTGAAATGAGGGTTTTCTAGAAAAGAATATTCTTCTTTGTTTCTGGAAAACAACGTTTCATTATTCTTCAACTGCAATATTTGAAAAAAACAGGGAAGGATTATCAATTACAGAGTCACAATCAAGGTTTCAGTAATCCTCTGCGCAATCTCTTCCATCTATCCTAACCCTGTTTTCATTCTAAAATAACATGGTCTTCTAACAAGAAAAATGAGGTTAATACTAGAGATTCTACGCCCCCATTAACTGCCTCCCGAAACAACATGCGTGTCCGCTTACAACTCAAATGATCTTCGGAAGTTTTCTTTGCAGTTTTACCCTGTCGAAATGATCTAGCACAAAAACGGCAGTTGAAACAATGTAGTTCCTCACATTTCGAAAGTTTAGCAATTCTAATAAATACAACGCAAAAAATGATTATCCACTTCAGTTAGTCGAAACAAAGCAGCAGCAAATTATCAACAGGAAGATTATAAATGTGCTTAGGATGTAGTAATAGATGGTACATTTCAAGTCAGGAAGTGCCACATGGATTGAACATCTGCTAATCTGAAATTGGTTCTAATTCTTCATGAAGAGGCATGTGGAAAGGACAAACCACGGAGTATCATTTCATACTGTTCGCATTTCTTGTTTC